ATTCTTCCTCTGATGCTCACACTCGGCCCAGAAGAACTTCTCCTAGCTCTTCCTTCACCCTTGTTGTCCCTTAAGGGTGCCAGGCTGGTCGGTTTTCGGCATTCCCCGGGAGCCTCGCCCGAGTACAGCCAAACAACACAGTGACAAAGCTCCGCCTCCTACAATCGCTTCTCGGCCTTTTGGCTAAGATCAAGTGTAGTACAATGCTTTTCTTAAAGCAGTTTCTGAGACTCCAAACACAACAGACAATCTGTGAGACGCTAAAGTGCTTCTCAAAAGGGGATGCTATTCTGTTAGATTCTGATTCACACAGACAGTTTACACAGACAAAACAGTCTCCTCCTCTTCGGACTGTCGCTTTCACAGTTTGAAAATGACAATGGATGGGGCAGAGTGAACCCACTCCCATCCCTACGTCAGGGCTCCACCAGCTTAATGAACACTTAAATAGGGCTTAAATTAGCCAGGCCTCTTGACTCAGAGATAGTTATGAAAGAAAATTGGTGGAAGAGGTCTAGACATAGGGATGAGTGTGATTCATATGCAATCTAGCCTTCTGACAGTTGGCTGAGGAAAGCCATGACAACACCATTTTAAGTGTCTTTTGGACCTTATAGCTACCACCTTGCCTTTGGATAATGACCTGAAATGGGCTGCTGCTGTGTCCTGTCAACCTCTCCACTTCAGTCAAATATATCCCTTCATCAGCTTCATTGGCAGCGTCCCAGAATTACTGTATTCATTTGTTTATTTGTCCAAGTAATAATTTTAAGTCACCTTGCAAAATCATAGTCCTTCTGTCTACATAAAAACAATATAATTCAACAAACGTATTAATAAAAACATATCACAAACGAACCATTTTAAATAAAATGCCCTTTAAAAAGTCTGTCAGGAGGAGCTCTGGTTTTAAAAGCACAGAAAGAAAAGCCAAGGTAATTAAGAGAGTTTTTTATAATGCCCATAAAAGCAGCCATAGAGAGGACTAGTCATATATCTCTTGGTAGACAATTCCAGTGGTAGGAGCCACCTATAAAATCTAAAGCCTGCCATCCTCCTTGTCCTACTAGCCTTGCTGTTCTTGGTGACATGCCAACACACAGAGCCTCCGAAGATTAACTTAAAATGTATGCAGGAAGAAGCCAATGCAGGCTATTTTTCAAATAACCTGGAACCAAATCATTTAGGCCTTGAAATATATGCAATGGGCCCAAATGACCTGAAATTTTTCCTTCCTTCCTTCCTTCCTTCCTTCCTTCCTTCCTTCCTTCCTTCCTGTCTGTCTGTCTGTCTGTCTGTCTGTCTGTCTGTCTGTCTGTCTGTCTGTCTGTCTGTCTGTCTATCTATCTATCTATCTATCTATCTATCTATCTATCTATCTATCTATCTATCTATCTATCTATCTATCTATCTATCTATCTATCTATAGCATTCTCCTCTAATTAGCTTTAAGTATATTTCAGAGATGGGCATCCATTTGTATATTTTAAAAGTATGAGCATGTGGGTAGGAAACATTTTTGTTTTGTCAAGGAATAGGTTGTAAACATCCAAAAGGCTGCTTCTGAAGAGGTTGCCTTGTTTTGAGTTTTGATGCTTAAGTTTCGGAAATGTACACTTGCATAAAAAGCAAAATGCACATATATGTATTATTTGGCACTTGTTCCTTTAAAGTTCACATGCAAAGGCAAGATGCCAGCTCTTGATTGTTTGGTTGTTTGCTTATTAAGTGAAGCATGCATCTGTATGTTGTACCTTGGGACAGAATTGTCTTGTGTGGTACAATCTTCAGGGATGATTCACAACTGTTGCACTTACAGGTGGATTAAATTAATGTAATGAAACTGCATATGTGAGCAAAAACAACTACGTGTAGCTGTTCAACAGAATGTTGCAGTGATGCCAGAAGGGAAATGTGTGGGTGCAAAAGGAAACCAGACACATATATAGAATGACTTAATATTACTGTATATGGCTCTGCTGATAATAATATTAGCTTAATAGATTATATTTAAATGATTTTTCTTTTCATTTCTTTGGAGTATGATTACAGAAACAGTTGACAAAATGTCCTCCCTAATTGCTCTCCAAAGGAATATGTACTGATAGGGATCTGCTTCTTTATAGAGAGGGAGAGAGAAGATGAGGGAGAGAAGCCACTATGTTTAAATGATTCCTTGGAGGAAAGGGTGTCTTCTCCCTGTGCTCCTGGGAATGAAAACACCCATTTGAAATATTATACTTTATAGCCCTGTTCAATTGTTACCTACCCAATTATTAACAGCATGCTTAAAAAGGGATATCGAGCCTCTTCCTTCTTTCTTGTTGCTTTTTCCATGTAGAGTATGAGGTGTCTAAAAAGGAAGAACTGCTTGTATGAAGACTCCACACACTCGAGGTTCTTGCTCTCCTCATGGAGAAAGGTTTGACAGAGAGAGACTTGCTAATAACAACCAGAGAGGTAACAACTGAACAGAGCTTACTCAGAAGACTCCACTTAACAAACACTGCCCAAATCTCAATGACAACATCCTTTTAATGTTCCAGGACTACAGTTATTAGAAGTTTGTGAATAATGAATACAACATCTATCTCATTCTGTGTGCAATCACATGCTGCCCTCTCAAGAAAATGTCTATATGTTATCTATCTATCTATCACAGAAAAGACCAGTCCCTCTGTTTTCATGTATATGTTAGAGGCCCAGAAAACAACCCAACAGAAATGTCAGAGAATTTTGAAGCCTGTAGATCTCAAAGTAATGAAAGCGATTCATAACCATATTTCACAATTTCAATAATCAGCGAGGAAGGATGATGTATTTCATGGTCTGTCGTTAATACTGTGTTTGAAGTGGCCTGTGAAGAAAATATTAATAGCAGATACTGGTAAACTTCAAGCCCAACAACCAAAGGTCATGTTCATGTCTGTTCTTCTTTACTAGTATAAAACAATGTGTGTTTGTTTGCTTGTTTACTGAAGGGCAGCTGTAAGTTTCTATGATCAAACGTGCAGTACATAAATTTCTAATATCTTCTCAGTGAATCTTAAAAACCATTGAGTGGTTTTAGCAAATAACACAGTATCACCTGCATTTTCTTTGCAGTCTCTTGTTCTCTACAGATAGATGGGTAGATAGCTATAAGATAATGAAGCTAATGTGAAAAAAAAACCTTATTTATTAATGGTACCACTTGGCTATGTAGAAGTAGTGGTCATTCATTTCAAGGTATCCCACTTTTAGGTAAGGCTTTCTAAGTGCTCCTCTGCTTTTTTTTTTTTTTTTTTTTTGCTTTAGATGGAGATGGCAAGCTACTTGTCAACAAAGCAAACAATTCTTTCTGAATCAAACAGATGGCTCCATTCTATGGCTCCCATTCACTATGTAAACCATTGATCTGCAGATCCTATCCTGCAATTTCTAGTAACTGAACTCAATATTCAATTAGACTAAATAGATGAGCTGTTGCTGTTCTAAATGAGTATAGTTTGCAGAGCAAGGCTCTGAAAAATGAAAACGTTCTGCTATGATCACACATTCAATGACTATAATGAGTATTTAAAATACAAAGCCTTTTCTTTCTTTAGGAAGAGCTGATTTGTATAAACTGGCTGTGATTTTTCAGAGCAAGCACAAGGCAACAAGAAGATTATTTACAAAACTGACAAAAAGACCACCTATTAAAAGATAAAAAATAAATAAAATGACTCAAGCAGTCTGCAAGTTAGGTCCTTGTTGGCAAAACAACTAACAATTTTCTCTTTTTTAAAGAAGTTACAACTAATCTACCAGCTGAAAGAGCAGATTCATACCTTTCCTGTTTGGTGCATGACATAATGCTATTATATAACGTCATTTTACTTGTTGGCACTGCACTAACTTTTAATGTACCAAGACAATCTGTGTTATCATCTGATTATACCAGGAAAGCTCAGGAAAGCTCTATCTCCCCCCTCCACCACATCTGATCTGCTTTTTCCTTCCACATATAAACCAATCACTGGCTATTTTGAACAAAGAACAGCCATCTGTTCTGCAACTTTAATATTCATCCCCCCCCATATGACCATTTTCCTATAGCCAAATATTCAGTCACTTACACAGAGCACTAGAAAAGAATCCCAGTACTGTACTAGGACTGCATTGTAAAATAATACCAGCGGATTTATTTAGGTGCAGAGGAAGGTGTGTGTATGTGGTAATATTTTGCTCTTAACTCAGCTTAGCACCACAAAAGGGTGGGGTGACGAAGCCCCATTCTCCACTTTCTGCAGTAAAGAAAACAGGGAAGAATGGGTGGAAGTAATTCGTGCTCTCGCCTCCCTGTCCCACATTAACCATCATGATTCCCCATTGAGGATCATATTCGACTGACCCTGTTTGGTTTCTCCAGCGTATCCTCCGCCCTCGGGTTTAATATGCCTGATGGAACCGATAGTAATTTGTTTAGGAACGGCAATTGCCTTCTGATCTAGATAGCGAGCCCTATTTCTCTGATGGGGTAGATAGGTGGAAGGGAGGGAGACTGCTCTATCCGTCCTTCCCTCCTCATCCCAGATTTCTCAGGATTTGCTCTCACCCACCCACCCAAATTGCAGCCTTCAGCTGAAGTTCCCCCTCATAAACTTGTGCCTCGTTCCGGGCTCTGGGTGGATTTTGGGGGAGGGGACCCGCTACGGGTTCTCTGCCTACCCCCCCCCTTCCTTTTTCTGGTTTTCCCCTTGGGAATTGCAAGAGGCTCCATAATGAGGAGATATGAGGAAATGGGGGAGAGAGAGAGAGAGAAGGAAGAAAAGGGGGAAAAGAAAGATAGGGAGAAAGGCTTGAGGGGGGAGAGAGAGAGAAAGGGACGTTGAGTGCAGATGGATTGCAGGCGAGAGCTGTCCACGCAAGGAGGGTGCTGAAACGCCGCAGCCATGGCATGACAACAAAAAAAGAGACGGAGAAATGGGGAGGAAAAAGCACCGCCGGAAAACACAGAAAAGATCAGTCCCAAATACCTTTAGAGCGCCATCAAGCCCCGCCTTGGGTGAGGTCCTCTGCCGGAATCCTTGCCTCCAAGACGGGTGGGCGGCTGGGTGGGAAGGTTTCGTTTCGTACGCCTCAGCCTAAGCTCCTGCAGAAGAACTGTGAATGAGTGCTCCCCTGCTCTACGGGGCTATGCATTTTGGGGTAGGACGCGCGTGTGCGCCTTCTCCACACAGTAGTGCTCAGCCCCTGGGTCCTAAACACCTTCTCCCTCCAACTCAGTCCTGTAACAGAAGAACAGAGTGTGAAAAGGACCCATGACGAGTAGATCCTGGCAAGGAGGCAGATGCTTCCCAAACTCCTCTCACCATACGTTGAGAACGACAGAGAAATATACATGAGAACAAAATGGTGAGAGACAGTCACCATGCAAAAGAACCTCCCGCTGGAGCCTTTGGGGGTGCTGAACTCCTGGAAAAAGTACACAATTCACAGGGTTTTATCACTAAATGAGAGAAAGAAATGGGGTGGAGAAATCACATGGATTATTTCCCTATACTTATATGTTAGGAACTGTACCTTTTCTTCTGTTAAAAAAAAAAGGAAACTGAAGCCTGCCTAGGAATTCTGTGCCCTAAGATGCATCAACTGCTCAGCACCAGCAGTTTAGGGTGTTCATTGTTAACCACAGAAAATAAAATCTCTGAAGGATCTGTCTTTTTCCACTCAGAGTACTGTGGGTGCTCCCATGGTAATTTCCTCCCATGAATGAATTGGGGAGCTGTTGCATAATATCATAATCGTATTGTCATATTGACCTTTCCATGCATACATGAACCTAGATAGAAATGTAAGGGGTTTGCTTTTACCTGGATCTTGCGGGCCACAAAGTGTCTTGGTCCTGCTTCCATTGTGGTCTGCCTAAAGGAAGAGTGGGCCGAAAAGAGACAGATCTTCCACCATGCCCTTCCCTCAGTCATTACACTGCTCAAATGAAGAAAGCTTGAGACAACTAGGAATGGATTTTTGAGTTGAATAATGATCTGGTCTTACATTCCATTCTGCTCTGAGACTCAAAACAAAAAGCCCTGAGCTCAGATGTCTTTAATTCTAAGTATGTATCTTTTGCATCAGGTTGTAGTTGGTAGAGACAGTACTAAAAGACAAGAAAATCCACAAACCTGATGTCTGGTCTATTTCATTCTGGTCTAAATCAGGACCTAGGTAGGAATTTAGGATGTCCCTTAAAACTCTATCTACTGTAGTTCTAGAATTCAATGACTTGCAGTTCAGTAACTTGGTGATAGAATACATTTTCATTGCCATGGATGTTATATGTTAGGCAGCAAGGGTTCGGGCTGTGCTGTTTTAAGCCAGTTCTTATTCACAAAAAGCAAAGCCAGTACAGCCCAAGGATCAAGCTGTTAGGTAGTTATGAAGTCACCTTCATAACAGGGAGCAGGTACAGGCAAAGTCCTCAGTACTTCATGTATGAAAGGTTTTGGGAATATCAACAGGCAGCAAAGAGAAATAAAAACCTCCTTCTTGACTTCCAGCACAAACATAATATGTAGCTCCCAGCCAAACTGCCCAGACAGCACTCAGAGAGCCTTGAAATCCTGGCTGTACTTTTTCTCTAACCTTCAACCTGTGCCTCTCCCCAGGACAAATGAGCCTCACATCTACTGCTCTTGATTCATCATCTGATACTTTCTATTGACTATGCTATTTCTGGAAGCTTCTGGAACAAAACAGAGCACTGGGGCACTGAATTACCCTTCTACAAGAGCCTCTCCTAGCTTGAGGTCTTCCTCCCCTTCTTAAGCTGACCCAGCAAGGTAAGGCATAATAATAGGTAACTGTAGCAACTCTAAATACAAGGTTTATAGAAGATAGGACTTGGCCATGTTGTTGGAGGTAATGAGAGTTGTGATGCCACACATCTGGGAAGCTGCAGTTTGGGGAAGGCTGTTCTAAGGCATAGCGCTATAAATCTGGATAAGTTATACCGTGGGCATTTGTCCTTTACAAAAACGGGCTGCTGCTGTTACTATCACCACTTCTGACTGTATTTCCATCACAAGATTTTTCCAATAAACTTAAAATGGTGTACGTGTCTCTTTTCTTCCCCACTTTGTCATTACAAAGACTGAGACAGATCAAGCTGAAAGTATGACTGACCTATAGTCGCCCATTAAGTTTCTTGATCATGACCAATGGAGGATTTGAATCAAGGTTTCCTGCATTTTAGTCCAACACAGGTACCACTATGCCACACTGGCTGTTTTATAAATGCACACACATCCTTTATATGTTTATGTACATACATATATATGTGTGTGTCCACCAAGCCTCACAAGATTTCAGACTTGGCCATAACACCTGAGATATTGAAATGATTACCAAAAAAAAGCCATAATAGCAAGTTTCATTCTATATGGTTAATCTGTTTTCTTCCATCTTTCCTTCAATGTACAATGATGTTAGTTTATTTATTAGATTTGTAACTCACTTTTCTCACTCCAAAATGGCACTTATAGCTATGAAACCAAATCAGACAAGGATACTATAACTGAAACATAAAGCAGATTAATTAAAATATAAGACAGTGAAATATAATAGATGTGAAAACAAACATCATCCACTTGATTAAAAGCCCCTTCTGCACATATCAGATGAATATCCAAAAGCCTGCTAGAAGGAAAACAGCCAAAAGGGGGCCAACACAGTGTCTATCAGTTGGATATTACAAAACATAATCCTGTACAAGAAGTCCAAACTACTCCTGTGTAGAGATGGACACGAATCACTGCTTTGGTGGTTTGATGTGCTTCATTTCCTGGGTGAATGGCTGATCCACCTCCAGCAGATACCCACTTAGCAGCAGTGTCCTACCCTGCCTCTTCCAGGCTCTGTTGCTGGACGAGGCAGGGTGCCAAACTGCAGATCACCTATTCACCCAGGAAATGAACCACACTGACCTGCTGAACCAGCAATTTGTGCCAATCTCTACCCCATGGCCTATGCAGCTCTCTTGATCAGGTATAGTCTGATCTGAAGTGTAAATTAAATGCCCTATAGAATCTTTGCATTAAAAGTTAATACAGTGCTTCTTACTTGTATGTGCTAGTCAATGGACAGCTACATAATTACAGAAGGCTTATGAAAGTACTTATGTTCAATTACAAGTATAACCGTGCCTATATAGAGCACTTTTTCATTTTTTTAAAATAATGAGACAACACTTCAAGATTATGTTCTCACATGGTATTATCTCAAACATTCAGAAGTGCCATTCACTACATGAATGACATTTGACAGATACCAGTCTGTTACATGCTGTTCTTTAAAAAGGAAGACGCAGGGTAGTGGCCATGTGAAATGGGCAAAATGGTATAGTCGTTATAGCTAATGCACTGCATCAAGCATAGTGAGACGCAGGGAAAAGTTAACTGAAAGCATGTTATGTTCACTAGGCTTTCAACAACTGAGGTCATGAAAGTTGTAATGACACATCCATTGCACCCTCCTAATTCCTGTATAAGTGGCAATTTTATCCATCTTTCTTTATCTTCATAACTGAGATATTCTTCATCATAAGACACAAAAGGAAATGACAATGCATTTGTTTGCTCCTGAAGCAGAAGATGACAATGTTTCCCTTCACAGTTGACAGTTTGACTCCATGGGGAGGAAATAATTTGTTTCACTCAGTGGGAAGGAAATAATTTGCTTCTCCCAGTGGGATAGTTTCTCCCAGGGGAAGAAAATAAAACAAGGACATTGGATACCTTGAATTTACCACCCCGAACTCAATAGCAGGGCAACTGTGGCCCTCCAGATATTATTGGACTGCTATTTCCATAAACTTCCATCATTATCTATGCTGCCAGGGGTGAAGGGCAGCCACATCTGGTGGATCACAATTGCCTACTATTGATCTCCAGTATTAAAAAAATAAAATAACATATCAAATGATTTCTGACTTATAGCACTCTTGTCATGATTTTCAACATGCAGAGCACTCAGAAGTGGTTTACTAGTCCCTTCTTCTGGGATTACCTTGGGACTGTGCAGCTTACGCAAGGCTGCATAGGTTGACTTCTTCCAGGAAGCACACTGAGGAACTGAAATCCCAACCTCTGGTTCCATAGCCATTGAGCTACCCAGCCAGCTTCTGTGGTCTTCAACTGAATCAAAATAATATCTTTTTTTTCAATGAGATGGTTATCCATTTCTTGGATTCCAACATCTTTAATCCCATATTCTTGGTATGTTAGCTGAAGAAGCAAAAATTGTAATCTCAAACATCCAGAGGGCATCAAGTTGGCGAAGGACACCCACGTGGCACTTTTTAGGGAAAGACATGGGGCAGTATCTAAAATACCTCAAAATGTGTATGAAAGATAAAGTTGTGCAAGCTAAGGATAGCATGTAGTCTGAGCAGTGGGAACCTAAATCCCAAAATTTAGAATGAGGTTGCTCCCCTTGGTCAGCCTATGCATTGTCCTTTGGTAAAACGAAATAACACCTAGTATTTCATGCATGGTTATGACAACAATATTTCCCTACCCTTCCCTAAATGAAATAAAATTGGATAAAGCCTATCCTTTGAAAGTGGAGAGACAGCAAATTTAAGGGGGAAATGCAGCAATTGCTGTACTATTTTCTGCATCTTTAAATGCTCATTTGTGAACTCTGTGCTGTGAATGTCTAAATCTAATGACTGGGAAGAATGTTATGAATTAATGAGAGAATTATTCTTTTCTACTCTGCAATTGTCAAATGGAGTTATTTCCTTTCCAATTAACCCTTTTGAAGGATTACATTTAAAAGCATTCTTGCAAGTTTTGCAGTCTTTATTTATTTATTTTATTTATTTATTTATTTGATTTGTATCCCGCCCATCTGGTAGGTCAGTACCACTCTGAGCGGCTAGGAACAATTAGTCAGTTACTAATTGTTCCTAATTCTGCTGTACTCCATACATTCCAAAAGAGTGTTTTTTTTTTTAATTGGAGAGGAAGTATTGTCACTTATCATGGAAAAATATATGTTATGGCAGGTTGCAATGGTGTCATTTAAAAAGAGAGGTGACCCTTCTATGATTTGGCCATTTTTATTCAAAACAACTAACTTTTTTTGGTTTCTAGTTAAATGTTTGCATAAACATTATAATATAATTATAGAATAGTGG